ATGCTCGATAGGTGCATGGGCTCTGCCAGTGCACACAGTTTTGCTTCAATGTCCGCACAAAGGAAGATAACTCGCAGTTCAGTAGAAGTAAAGGAACCAGGAAATACGTTCAAAATTTTCTACGACAACAATAATCAAACTGTTATACGAAATATGATGAGAGGTCTACGAGCTCACGAATCTCGGAGCAGAACGAACGGGTGCACAGTCCCGAAATAGTGGCGCGCTCCATCGATCGTGGGGATTGGCTAACCAATCGAAGGCGCTCGCCTCCTTGGCAAAACTCGACGACCACCAGTGCCACTTCTAGCTTTTCTCTCAGTGCCGGTCATGATTGAATTTCTGTTCGTAACGACTTGCTACATCAATAGATTTAAGGTCGTTTACATCTTTAACACGTTGGAATCTTCTGAGCGAAAGTGATCGTCTTCTCATGATTTTCTGAGTTTGTTTCCTTTAGTAGTATTAACTGTATTGTGAAAAAGAGTGGACGATATGCATTCATCTTAATAGATTTCATTTTCGGTAGTTTATTTTGTTGCACAGAACTTTTTTGACATATCATTTCTCATCGGTCGAGGGGTTTGTTCCACACCCAGCAGTTTCCCAAAAGGAAACCCTTAATCGGTATGAGTTTGTTTGGCCATGCGAGAGATCGGTGAGATGAAAGAAAAGACGTTTGTGCTATATTTGAACACTAAAACTTTGAAAAAGGTGCAGAAGTGTCTCTACTTGAAAGCAGAAGTTCAGCCTTTTTGTTCAAGATAAAGTAAATCACTGAGTAGAATAGTGGTGTAGTTCCAATTGTGATATAGTCGTACACTTCAAAGTGGCTGGTTGTCTGCAGAAGAGCATCCGTTCGTCAATGTCCCCTCACTTTTTGTACGTGGAGGTACTTACCAACTACCACTATCGAAACATTTTACTGAGAACTACAATGATGCTGAAATATTTGCGGAACTCCGGACCGCAGGTTTCTGCGGCCGGGATTGAACCTCGTTTTTACTTTTTCCGAGAGCTGACGTGCTCACCACCACACCATGCGGGTCCTTCATTTCACCTTTCTCTTAGCCTTGTTTTATGGGTGCTATCAGCAATCACCCGTGAACTTTATACTTTATTGATGTTTTAAGCTCTTTGCTCAAAGATGTTTACTTTACAGTCGACGAATTTTTCGATTAGCGAATTCGCTTTTTTCATACATGAGCTACAACCGCATCCGTCACAATACATCACTACCACGTACACTCAACTCTTCCAAAATGTAGTTCAAACTGCTTATGTGGAGTTATCACTTTTCTTACTTACTTGGATACTTGGACGGCTCGTCCTCACTAGCTATTTGCTTTAAATATTGTGAATCCATGGAGTCCCGAGGTCAGCCTAATCAAAGTCTGTTCCGGTCGTCACCACTACAGGCAGTCGTCGACCCTGTGGAACAGAGGGAGATTTACCACCATGCGATTAGTTTGACGCCAGGACAGTGGTGGATCTTGGTATTTATTCTTAGCTGGGATTCGCGATGGAAACGCCGGAGTTAATAATTTTTTTTACACACAAATTGCAATTCACAGCCATAATCTACGATTTTAACATAGAAATTTAACTTCTCCTTTAGAATTAATAAGTTTCATATGGAAAGTCAAATCTTTGCGTACACTATTTATATATAATTTAAACTTTTTTGCGAAAAATCGATTTTTCAGGTGGTGACTGCTTGAACGGTGGAAGTAGTTTTCAGTACCATAGATGTCAGTAGGCGTTAACCTGCATGGATTGTTTTGCAGAACATTTGAAATCATAAGAGTTCGCTACCTCCTTGTAGCCTCCAAAACAATACCTGCATTTGCTAGGACACCCTATCAGTTGAGGAAGAATTTTCGGGATCCAGATATGTTTGCGGAGAAGAATCAAGTCCTCGTGTTCTACCAGCATATGAAATTTTTTGTGGAGCTATATAATTTCCCAGAGCTATCGAAGGAAGGCTTTACTGTACGTCCATAATGGCTGACTTCTAAGTTGTGCAGCTGTCGAGAATTTACGATGAACTATGGGAGAACTATCATTGCTTACTGCGTGGAGCAGACAGAGCGCGATCACTGACCAGTAGTTGACTGTTGTTTCATTTCCATTTGCTGTAATGAATCATAGTTGTCGTATGAAATGAATAGATATAAGAAATATTGAAGCGTATTGAGCATCTATTGTGGAACTTGCTATCAAATGCCGACGACAGCAGTGTGATTGGATGGTGGACGAGTTGCACCGAACCCGAAACCGACATGAACAACGTTGTCCCATGCGGCAGCCGCATGAAACTAGTCGTCGTCACGAACATCCGTGTAGACAGTAGCTTGATTATTGTAGTTTATCCAGTCTCAGCACTGCAAATTCATACGCTTGTCTATTCACAATCGCTCATCAAACAACGAATTCGAGTACCAGCGAATGTTTAGCAAAGTGTCCGTGGTTACGGTGCCTGGGCAAAATTGTCGAGACAATGTGCTTGCTTTTGATTTCATAATCTGTAGTTTTTATTCCATATGGAACATCTTGGTATACTTTTTTTTTAATTCCCCCATCTCTTCCATTTTCATTCGCTCTCTTGCGTCCGTCCTCCACGAATGCGTTCAAATTTTGCGCTTGTGCTCTGTTTGTTACGTTCGAGAGCGTAATCCTGGGTACCCCATCACAGCGGTCTTCTACGGGATAGTGCTCTTTAGCGCGAGGGTCGTTCGTCGGAGTGTCCTTGGAGGCGCGATCGCCAGAGAAGTGTAAGGTGTCGTTAGCGCGTATGCACGAATGTGACTCGATGTACACGGAAAGCTACATATCTCATTAGCTGAGGTGATGACGTCACCACCAGAGTCGTGTCCGTTCGGGCAACTAAACTGCTCGATTTTGTTGCACGTTTAACCTCATTGATACCAGAAGTTCGTCAACGTGGCCTGGCCGTTAGCTGGTTTGGGATGGTTCTTTCGTGGAGATTCCTGGATATATATATATATACATATATATATACATATATATATACATATATATACATATATATGTATACATATATATACATATATATATATATGTACATATATGTGCACGTGCTTACTTGGATATTTGGATGGCCTGTCTTCACTGGTTCTGCGGGCTTCAGCATAATTTCCATTTTTTCGGAGTTTTGCTGATTTAGCCATTGTGGTTCCTTGGAGTCCTAAAGTCAACCTAACCAAAGTTTGCCCCAAGTCGTCACCACCACGCGCCGCGGTTGCCGCCTCTTGTGGATCTGAGGGAGATTTGCAACCATACGATTAGTTTAATACTAAGACGGTGGTAGATCCTGTTATTAGTTTGCTCTTAGCTAGGCTTCTTGGTGGAAACGCCGGACTCCTCAGCATGGGAGATCCTGCTGGAAGGATGAATCCTCCCGTTATACATCCCAACGCGACATCCAGGAACAGTTCCCAGCCACGATGAAGCCCTAAACCGTTAGGAAGTATGTACGTACATTTACATATATGTGTATACATGCATATATATGTATATATGTACATATGCGTACATACATATACATGCGTGCATGTGTGTATATACATGTGCATATATGCATGTGTTTACGTATATAGCACGTGTCACTGCAGTGTTCACCTTGAAATGGCTCATTACCTCTTTAACTCTTAGGTTTACCTTGTAAGTCAGAATATTTTTCAGGCTAATGTTCGTCTACGCAATAGCATCGTTGAAGAATTTCTTCCAGGTGCGCTAGATCGCTTTGTTACAGCATAAACTATAGTAGTATTTAATCGCAGCTACAGGTTGTTCTGCATAGTAGGAGATTGTTAACTCATCCATGATTGATATCCAGAATGGGAAAGAACTGGATGTAATTTTTGGTAGCGAATCCAGGAAGAGCATCAGAGGTTTTTAGATCGTTATTTCTTTCTTTACTTTAACGAAGCAGGGATGTGCCTAGAGTTGAAGATGAATAACTCAAACAACTGGAAATACAAGTTGGCTGCACTTTGAGTTGCAAAGGCGGGAGTGGTAGCAGTCAACAACATTCCGTGCCGTACAGGTTTCCAGTAATCAATACTACTTTCGAAGAAGGAAAGTGAATTGTTATCAGGTGTGGTAGCGAGGTTTCTGTGTTTTCGATCCCTCGAAACGGTTACGTTGTTTCGAAAGTTGGACAGCTCTTTAGTGTTAAGTCGCAAATGTTTCCCAATTACAAGAGGGATTGTTTTTACGTTTTCTCGAATGAGGTGGGATTTCGTTATTCATACTTTCGTTGTAGCGCAATGGTCGCAGGCGGCCGGCTACACCTGAAATCGATCTCCGTGCCAATGGCTCACTAAGCTTTCTATGCTTCCGTGGTCGGCAAATTGATACCAGACTGGTCTGGGAGAATAGCAGCACTGGCTCGATACATCAGTAGACCACCGCGAGTCGTTATAAGGGCCAGATATGCATTTTGTTACCTCCAACGATGCTTAGTGAAATCGAATGCATGGCGCATCCCTCAGGAATTGAACAGCGAGAGCTTTAGCCTTTTTTATCCTTTATTTTTAGCTCCGACTAACCAGTTATCATAACGAGCTCACTATGTTTACAGATTTATATCCAGATGTTTTATAATAAGTTTTTAACGTTTGTGCTCACTATTCTCCACAATTGAATTCGTTTTTTTGTTACGATTAATTATCAAATTATTATCTTCTGATTAAACAACTGAAGAGTTCAACCGAGAATTCCTCAATGGAATTTGTTCGTGGCCGTGATTCATCACAAACTTTCTCAAGCTAATGAAAAAGAGAGGCTAAGTTGTACGTAGACGACCTGGTGAAAATGAAATGTTTTTTCTTATCCAAGTCTGAAGATGTTAACGAGTCAATTACGTTGGATCTCGAACAGAGTTATATTTGATGAGGTTCTTTCGAGATTTGATTCGTTGTCTTCGTAAAGCAGAGAAGGTTATATATCGATTTTAGGTCGACGCATCACAAAGAATGAGCAACCGAGCAGTAGCCGTATTACGAGGAGACGCCGGTGTCACGGGGACTGTGTGGTTCACTCAGGTTGGCCCATTTCGTTAAATCTGCTCATTTGTAGTAAAACCGAGATTTTATGGTGTGAGCAATACTACACATTTTTTCTGAGCACTTTGATTAAAAGGATAAAGGATAAAACTCTTGGCGTTGATAAATGCCTTATGGATGCACCATCCATTCGACTCGCTGGCGCCTCCGATCACTGCGCCAGAAGCACTTTGATTAGGCATTCTAATTTAAATGGTAATGTTTAACGTTTTGTTTTCTGCCTCCTATAATTTTCATGGCAGGTTACTAAGCGAAATACAACCACAACGTTGCTGAGATATTTGCAAAACTCTGGACCGCAGGTGTCTATGGTGGGGGACGAATGCGTTATTGTCCTTTCGGGTAGTAACGCGTTCACCACCACACCATGCGGGTCCTTTGTTTCGCACGTCTCTCAGCTATTTCTATCGATCTTTTTGCCACAGTGGTAAATGGTAAATTTTAAATGGTAATGTTTATGTCCCATAGACTTTTTTAATAATTGATGATGACCACCGAGGTCGGATAGTCACTTTCACAGATTTCGTTTACTTTCTATTCATTCTTTAAGCGAGACTAATATCTACCATCATTGTTACGTGTTCTTGTTTCTCACATTGATAGTTTGCGATAAGTTTTGGCGGATCTTCTGAAAAGGCGATTTAATTTTCAGGACAAAGAATCGGATCCATGTTTGATTAAAGGCGAAATCAAAGGTTTAACTCCTGGTCTCCATGGTTTCCATGTGCATCAGTATGGTGACGCTACAAACGGTTGTATCTCAGCTGGGCCACATTTCAATCCATTCAGCAAGACTCATGGAGGACCAAATGTAATTCATTGTGATTTGCCGACTTATACGTTTGTATTAGGTCTTTAAATTGCTAACCATATGATGTATACCCTATTCTGTCTTTTCTTGATAAGTAAATACCTTGATTTGTGCTTTAAAAAAATCACAAATAATCTCTTGACGTGCGTGACACTTTCTTTCTAGGACAGCACACGTCATGTGGGCGATCTCGGCAACGTTGAAGCGGGGCCGGATGGCGTCGCGTCTTTTGAGATCAAGGATCATCTTGTGAAGATTCATGGAGAGCACAGTGTTATCGGACGTTCACTCGTTGTTCATGCTGGCACTGATGATCTTGGTGAGAATTATTTCTACAAAACCACCACTATGGTACTGAAATATTTGCAAAACCTGAACCACAGACAGGGTCGAGCCGCAGTTACACTTTCCGGGGCTCGCGTGTTACGCACGACGCAAGTGAGGCCCCAGTTTTGCCTTTCTTTCAGACGGTCTTTTTAACCTTTTCACTATTTTGACGTAGTTTGTGATGTTTCAAAACCTGGAGCAACTAGTATTTACATAGTTGATGAAGTTCTAGAGTTAGGAGGAAACAGTTTTTCAACTGTGTATGTGTGTTGGATAGATGGGCGAAAACGTTTTGCGCTTTCAAGTAAGAAGAAGTGATTCGTAGTTTTTCCAGCTTTATTAATTAGAATAAAGACTATCAGAATATGCATATTTTTGCTAGTAGTACCCATTTCCCTATTCTACTATAGAAATTCCGATTTTTTCGAGCTCGTTCCTTTTTTTTCGCTTTTTTTTTCTTTCTTATCGAAACTCGTGTGTTAAAGATGGAAGCGGTTGAAAATGCGGGAATCCCTTCGAGGCATGATGGTGTTCTCTGAGACATCGTTGATATTTGGAGCTACCACTTTAACACACAGGACGAGTGTAGCGCAGTGGTCGGAGACGTCTTGCAATGCCTGTGGGAACGATCCCGGCGTCCCATGTCCACCAGCCCCTCTATTTTTCCGGAGTCGCCAAATTGGTAGCTTACTTGTCTGAGAAGATAGCAGCACTGACTCTATACATCGGTAGGCCACCTCAAGTCATTGTAGAGGCCAGGTATGCATTCAATCACCTCGAACGATGCTTGATCAAGTCAAATGCATGGCGTAACCCTCAGGAATTGATCAACGTTGAGAGCTTAATCTTTAATAAGAGAATTTGTACAAACACATCATGCATTTTTGACGTCGACACGAGTATATGTATACATGTGTATACGCATGTATACACACATATATACACATATATATATACATATGTATGTATAAAGGAGATAACAGATTTAGAAAGTTTTAGCAAAACGAAATACTTTCCCAAAACCTTTCGGGACACCATTTCAGGGCTTAACAAACAACCTTTCTTCGGCTCACATATCGACGTCTTCGTCTTCATCAGAGTCAATGATCTGAGTTGATGGCCCACAGTTATTCGCATTCTCGATGTGGCATCTTCGTTTTCGTATCGAGTTCGACCATCCTCAGTGGAGCATCTCTTGAATAAGGCATTCTCACTCGGCGATGCCCCCCTATACAGAATGGTGGTTGTTGATTATAGTGGTTTTCCGATAATAACCGTGTGCCTCATCTGACAAATATAGGTATTGTTATGCTGTATGATAGCTAATAATGATACCGACTTCTGCAGGATGGATTGTTTGAAAAAAAAAACAAGTCATTATCACCGGACGGTCATATCAACAAGAACCGTCCTGTATAAAAGTGCATCATTGACTAGGTTGCCTCATTCAAGCCATACTTCACTGAAAAAGATCCGACTCGATGCGTTGACGAAGACACCACATCAGAGGGACTGTGGCGAATGATCCGATTCGGATCATCGACGCTAAGGAAGACGAAGACGTCGAAACCTTTGTCAGATAAAAGTTTCATGACAGCCTCGTGTAAGCTAAGCAATTTAAAGATTTAAAGATGTGCTTATTAGTCATACGGAGGTAAAAAGAAAGTCGGTTTTCGGATAGATTAAAGAAAGATATTGTAGTGTAAAGTTAATGTACAAAATATGTACATGATATGCATATAAGTGTCATGTTTTTTGTTAATACATTCGCCACCATATGTCATCCGTGAATCGCCGGAAATAGTTTCCTCTTTCAACTTTAGGCAAGGATATTTCAGTTGACAGTGAAGTATAATAACTCAAATTGAAACAGATTTCACAGATGTTTATCTACAAAGGTTAGATTATTCTATTATGGTGGTAAAATTCTGACTTTCTTGAGCTCAAAGATCGTTTGTTTTACCTTTTATTGTCAAGGCTTTTATTTTGAGCAATGAAGCCAATAAGCGGGGTCTTGTATAGCGGAACATAGTGGTGTGCCCGAACACGTTTTCACTTTAGACGGTTCCCACGCTGCTGTTAAAAGTAAGATCGAAAAATATCTGTCCTTATAGGGATTTTTGAAATTCGAGTTTTGAACACATTTAACTTACTCATAAACTGCCTGTGATTTTCGCGGAATGCGAGACATGACTGTGTCTAATTTATCATCATTTGCAGCTACATTGAATTCAGTGAATTGAATTCGATCCACTTGTTAGGTCAAAATTTGCCACGACGCTGCTTGGTTATATATGTTTTGCTTTCATCCTTTTTTCTTATTTTTAATCTTACATACTCTGCATTCTTCCATGTATCTTCCCATGATTTTCGAACATTAATGCCTTTGGGTATGATCAAAAGAAGAGAGCAGCATTCCAGACATGCTGCTGTTAGCCTTTAGTAGTCGTCTTCACGACATGTCTTGGGTATTTTTATATGCCATCTATTTCTATCCATATTTAAGCACGCACGTAAAACTCGAAAGGATAAAGCTTTCGGCGTTGGTCGATTCCTGAGGAATGTGCTATTCATTTGACCTCATTAGGCATCTTTTGGAGGTAATTGAACGCATATCTGGCTTTTACAATGACCCGCGGTGCCCTACCGATATATCTAGCCAGTACTGCTATCCTCCCAGACAAGTCTGGTACCAATTTGCCGACTCTGGGGGGATGGAGGGCTTGGTGGGCCATGGGCGAGGGGATTGATTCCACGTGTGTGTTGCACGGTGCCTTCGATCACTGCGCCACACGCGCCTCAAATTTTGAGCGCACAGAGCAACCAGTAGTGTTTCCAAAGACACACTGCTTTTAAGCACGTTGAGAAACGTGCTTTCAATGCGCCGTCTACTTCAGGATTAATTGGGCTTCCTTCGGAAGGCTCTTCACTAAGAGATAGTTTATTGATATCTTAGTGCTAGTAGTACTGCACTCTATCAATAAACTTGTACGAGGAAGCAGTTCTTGTGCTGAATACCAAATGTAGTTTTTCTAATGTGCTGTACAACATATTAGTGGACGTGCTGGTAATTCAATACAAAATGTATGGTAAGAACAACCTTGTATGATGAAAGAACACATCAGAAAGAAATTACATTAAAATCACTGCGCACTGTGTTCAAGTGATAAAATTCTTGTACCATAACTTAATTGAGTCAAGTGATAATATTCTTGTATCGTAACTTAATTAAGAGAGTAAAAATATGGCTGAGAAGAATGGAAAGCGAGGGTTTGGCTTGCTGTTGTTGTTAGCGCTCGACCCCTTAGTAACGGTAACCACGGGTTGAAAGCCCTACTGAGGTTCCGAGTTTTGCCCTTCTCTCATCATCTTTGTAAAATATATATTCAGGTGGCCCTTTGTTTTAGCGTTTACAGAGCGCTAATTCTGCTTGGTTTTAGGTAAAGGAGTTGGCGAGAAGAAAGAGGAATCCTTGAAAACTGGAAATGCTGGTGCACGCGCTGCCTGTGGAGTGATCGCTATTGCAGCAACGCAGTGAAAACGGTTCGGACATATTTAAAGAAAATACATGTATGTTGAAGTTATTTTACGTAGTTGATTTGTGTCTCTGCATACTAATCTATGTGTTAGATTTATCAAGCAATAAATGAACCTATTAATAAACTATGGCTATTGCTCTTCTTTGCGCAGACTTGGATAGTTTAGAGGTTTTTTCAATTTATTCGTGATAATAAGGATAGATTAATGGTATCACTTCACAGTACAGTTTTTAATATTATACCTCTGAAAGTATTTTTGGTATTCTGGATTTTCTATTCAAGAATCCAGAATTGTTGCTGTACTCTAAACAAAATAAGGCACAGTTACTCATGTTCACAAATACTATCAAGTATTTACAAGAGATGATATAGTGTCCAGACAGTGATTGTCCAGACAATGATTAGCAGTTCTGTCTTCCGACGAGTTTGTAGTAGATGCCTTTACGAGCAAGTAAGGATTGATGTGTGCCACTCTCAGCTACTCGTCCTTCGCAGCATACAAAGATATGATTCGCATTCTGACATAGAATTAAGTTATTTTGCAGATAATTAAATGCCTAAAGAACATGTCTTTCTTTGCAGTTATCCCAAACTGTCTAAGTGACTCGGAGGTCAAATGAAGTGGCTATCTTCCTTAGTTATTATGACAAATAAAAGTAGTACCTGTATGGAGGATAGCCGGTGCGCGATCACAATGCAAGTCCTTCCTAACCTTGCTCTGTCAAGAGCCTCTTGCACCACCTAAACTGAAGGCTCATCTCGGTTTTCGATTTGCCAAATATATCACTTAATTGAAAGTAGTCTTTTTTGCTGTGTCCATTGTCGTTTGTGTTGAATGACAGCAAGCATTAATATGAGACTATGATTTTAAAGGAATTCTTTTGGTGCAAAGTACTACTTTCTAACCCTAAGGTTATTTTGCCTAGGCAGAGAAATAAGCTTAAACATAACGATGTCACCTTTTCACTTTCTGCGTCCAGTGCACTGGTTGCCTCATCCAGCAAGAGGATTTTCGGATCTCTTACGATAGCTCGGGCGATCGAAATACGCTGCTTTTGGCCACCCGACAGTAGTCCACCTTTCGCGCCTACCATCGTATTATAGCCCTAAAATACAGAAGTGTAAAAAAGTATGCTAGTTGAGCAGCAGTTGTCGCCTATTGCTCCACAGTGGTTTTCTGCTTTATCATGCATGAGCGATCCCGCTCAGTCAGAAGAGTAGTTCAACATTGCCATCCTGAAGCCCAGAACTTACTACTGTGTCAACAGCAATCTCACTGTAAATTGGCAAATCTTCCACCGATCTCCAACGTTTGACGACTATTTGTGGTGAGGAGCTGGAACAATCCTACCACGTCTTTCTTGAGAATCCATGGAACGGAAAGCGCGCCCGGTCAGTAAATGCCATTCAAATGATCAAGTATTCAAATATTGAGGTAGTTGTTCACCGCCTAATGATTAACAGATTTCGATATTGTCAGTACGAAGAAGGCTTAGGCTTAGGGATTCAGGATGGACTTTTGCCGAGATACTACTCAGCATACAACAACGGCATACGACAACGTAGTTAGACTGCGAAATCGAATTCTATTCACCTCTGGAAGGTTGGTGACGAAGTCGTGAATATTGGCCATACGAGCGGCGTGTTCAATCTCTTCCTGTGAACATTTGCCCATTCCGTACATAATGTTCTCACTAGAAAACGGTATTTGTATAAACCTATATGCTCCTTATAGAAAAATTAAAGAAAGAGATTTCCAGTTTCTTCATAAGAGGTTCAAGAACTTGAAATCATATTATTTGAACGGAGTTGAACGAAAATTGGCACCGTATAGTCATATTGAATAGCGTCGGTTCCTGTCCAACCAGTGCGATATGGTCTCTTATGTAGCGAATTGATAGGTCACGAACATCATATCCGTCTATGGTCTAAATAGCATGAAACCATTTAATATGATTAAATACGCATCGGATTCACTACTTGCACTATGTAGAACTAATAGTGTTTTGTTGATCTTCATTTTTCAGCAACAACTTTAAAACACTAGCTCTGAATGAGGGAGGTAGTCAATGGTCATCCAAAAAGTTGCAAATTTTTGCTAGGTGATCAGTAATTGGGGAAGTACGTCTTCCCATTTCCGTACTTAAGCTTTGGCAGTAGAAGGCGAGGAGCTCGCCATGGATATTTTATCGCTAGAAACAATAAAAATACAGGAACCAATATGGAAAATGTGATGCTTTTCCTGTTACGATAGTGACTTGAACCTACTGGTCAGGTTCGGCACGGAACGGAACGGTAGGGGGTCCAACACGCAACGACATGACCTCTATAGCAGTTAGACACATTCGTTAGAGGACACAGTGGCTAATACCACCTTTTTTAAAAGCCATTTTGTTTCCAGTGGTTTATTTTGGTTCACAGAACTTGGAAAATATACAGAAAACGGTTGCTCGAATGAGTTTAATGGCCTGTGATTTGATTTAACGTTTTGTTTTCTGCCTTCTATAATTTTCATGGCAGGTTACTAAGCGAAATACAACCACAACGTTGCTGAGATATTTGCAAAACTCTGGATCGCAGGTGTCTATGGTGGGGGACGAACGCGCTATTATCCTTTCCGGGGAGTAACGCGTTCACCACCACACCATGCGGGTCCTTCGTTTTGCCTGTCTCTCAGCTATTTCTATCGATCGATCACCATAGACACCTGCGGTCCAGAGTTTTGCAAATATCTCAGCAACGTTGTGGTTGTAATTTGATTGTTTTCTCAACTCTGATTGCTGCAATGAGTCACATTTATCGTGTGGAATTAGCGCACACAAAAAGTACAAAAATAGAGTAAGTACAAGCTGCTAAACACTTCAGAATTCAAACAGCGTTATGTTTGTATAGTGGACCAAAGTAAGATGGAGTGAATAGTAGCACATATATCACTTGTACCTATAGAGCAAAGCCTCTTCCACAATAGTATTTTATACGTTCCAAGTCTTCTAGTTGTCGAGATATTATTGTCTATGTGAGATACGTGATTGGTGTGCCATGGGCGCGCGTGACACAGTGGTCGAAGGCACCCTTCAGCACATACATGTTGCCCATGGCTTACCAAACCTTCCAACCCTCCGGTGTCGAGAAATTGGTACCAGACTTGTTTGGAAGGGTAGGAGCACTGGGTCGATACATCGGTAGGCCACCGCGAATCATTGTAAAGACCAGAAATGCATTCATCACCTCCAAACGATGCTTAATGAAGTCGAATGCATGGCGCCACCTTCAAAGACTGATCAACGCCGAGAACTTTATTATGTAAAATACAACCACAATAACACTGAGATATTTGCAAATATCTCAGCTTCATTGTGGTTGTATCTCACTTAGAGTACCCTGCCGTGAAAAATTTTAGGTAATAGATAAAAAGTTAACAATATCGTCTGTTTTCGAAAAACCTACGGTCTGTAAAGACATGAAATTCGGTGTCGTCAATAATAAGTGTTAATATTGTTTTTCTGTGGTTAACGGGATTATACATAACTATGACAATTTTAACATTCTCGGAGTAACTGCGTTAGATAAGCCATCGATTCATTATAAGAAGTATAGGAAAAAAACTTCTGGTGCCAAAGTAAACCGCCAGAAGGAAAATGACATCTGTGGGTGTACTACCAGCTACTCTCGCAAAACTGCTACAACTACACGTGTCAATCGTCCCGATAGCGCCAAATTAACATCTTGATGTACTTACCACCTTACCACAAAGTGCATCGTAGTAGCGCTCAATGAGCTGAATCACAGTGCTTTTTCCGCATCCACTGGCGCCTACAAGCGCCACTGTCTGTCCGCGTCTTGCGGTGACGTTCATTCCTTGTAGAACGAGAGCGCGTTGTCGAGTTGGATAAGCAAAGTAGACGTTTCGCAGTGCTACATCGCCTTTAAGCTCCTAAATTAATAAAGTTGGAGCAGTACAGAATGCGCAAAACCAACATAACTACAACTATTCAATGGACGACTCAGGGTTTCTCGAAAAACTTCAAATTTATCTCTCTTCCCAAAATTCACCGACATCCATGAAAAGCTGTTGGCAGAAATCTTGATAAGCATTGAGTCATTCCGAAAGTATGATGGATTTTGTGGAATGTACATTGCATTAACGAAGGAATTTAAAGGCAGTTCCGTAATTTCGACTCTATTTTTAAAGTCTTGAAATTATTTCAAAACATCTTATAATTGCGCAGTTGAGCGGGGCACTTTTTTGAATATAGTTAATTTTTATTACTATCAAATGACCCGTCATCATATCTATGTGAGGACTCCAGCATTTCTTGTATTTGACTCGTTTTCCTCGCGTTCATCTTCCACAGTGATCTTCGAACGTTTCGCGTGTTGTTTGGGCTACTTTGAGGATTTCATCCTCTCTATGGATTTCGTAGAATGCTAGTCGACCTGCTCGTTCTTTCTGCAATCTTGGAGATGTCCAAGTTAACGCTTTCCTATGTGGACTAGAGCAAGCGTTGAGGAGGGTCGAACAACCACCCTGCCTCTTGACGGTCTGCACTACTAACTTCTCCTCACCCTTCCACTCCAACCTGAATATATTTTTTTTACATAATTCTTGTCTATTATAGTGTCTAGAAGTTCTTCTTGCTGAGAAAATCGTTTGAGTCCAAACTTGTCTATGCCACAACAAAAAATGACAGAACGATTAAGATGCTGAGATATGAGCAAAGCTCGGAACCTCAATCGTGCTTTGAACCCACAGCTACCCTTTGGGGTAGAGAGACGGAATTCGACATTTTTGTTGAGAAACTCAGTTAAAACTAACTCAACGTCAAGAATTGTCGGCCAAAAATATGTCGCAGCACGCAATTTTCCAATCGGTCCCCAGTGGCTGTCATCAGTCCACGATGACAAGTTGACGATCCACCCGTAGTCCAGATATTCCAGGTACAAAGAGGTGTTATCAGTACAAAATTAATTTGATAAAACTGAAGCTTAGGTTTTTAACATTCCCGTAGATCTGCCATCCAACTTCTCCAAGAGGCATTATTTCAGTACTGTTTAGTAAATAAAAAGGTGTAGCGAATTAGGTAGATGATACGATAAATTTGTCCAGCGTTTTCTATCTTCAGTCGCTTTCTACTTATAAATGAAGCTTAGCCATGTATTTGATACATTTAATGGTAATTGCTATGTCACAGTATTTTTTAATCCATTCTTAATATAATTTGATTGATAGGCTATTTTTAAAGAGTAGTACTAACCATCCTCCCAACGGTTTACCGTGTCATCGTGGCTGGGGGGTGTTCCTCGATCTCGAGCTGCGATGTATAGCAGGAGGATTCATCCCCCGGCAAGATCTCCGAAGCTGAGAAGGAGTTCGGCGTTTCCATCAGGAAACCTAGCTAAGAGTAAACCAATACCAGGATCCACCACCGTTTTGGTATCAAAGTCGAATGGTGGTAAATCTCCCTCTGAACCACAAGGGCGGCAACTGCCTGTGGTGGTGACACTGGGGCAGATGGCTAGGCTGACTTCGGTGCTCCAGGGAAACAGTGGCTAAACTAACAGAACTCCGAAAAAGTGGAAATTATGCTAGAGTCCGCACAACCAGTGAGCACGGGCCGTCCAAGTATCCAGGTAAGTGACAATAAATAAAATAAAGGATAAAGCTCTCAGCGTTGATCAATCCCTGCGGGATGCGCCATGCATTCGACTTCATTAAGCATCGTTAGAGGTGACTGAATGCACATCTGGCCTTTACAATGACTCGCGGTGGCCTACCGATGTATCGAGCCAGTGCTGCTATCCTCCCAGACAAGTCTGGTACCAATTTGCCGACCCTGGAGTGATGGAAGGCATAGTGGGTCATGTGCGCAAGGATCGATTCCACGTGTGTGTCGCAGTGGCGCCTCAAATCACTACGCCACGTGCGTAAATGATATTAACGATAATATCTGGGTCGAATTTTTACAGCAAGTGATTACTAGAAAACTAAAAGGGAGCTGATGGAAATTCGTTGTGTCGGTGGTCATAACATTAACAACATAAGCAACATAATTATTCCTAGAAACATAAAAATTATTCAATAACAAGAGAATGCGACACAGAGCTCTCGGTCTTCTGGTACGCAAGTTTTCACGGCTGTTACCATTTACATCCATAACTCTCGCACGTCCATGGTCGTGGTGGTTTGGCTGGAGTCTAATGTTAGGAAACCTCACAAAGCCAGTATTTTGATTCACTTAACGTGCTATGCTGATGAATACTAAGGCCTTAATGAACGTACCGGTGTCTCACCCTGATGGCTCATGTTATCGACATTTGGCCGTTGACGCATCATTGTGAACATGATTCCAGCCGAGATTCGGGCACGAATGTATTCCGGAAAGTACGAAGCGGCCGTCATCATGCTCATCGATGCCATATTCAGTGCCTCGATAACTCTGGGAGGAATAGGTTTGTCACTTTCACTTATATGTGTATCTATCTATCTATCTATCTATCTATCTATCTATCTATCTATCTATATATATATATATATATATATATCCATATATACATATATGTATATATGCACATGTATATGTTTATGCGTGTATATATATATATATATATATATATATCACGTCTATCACGTCACATCGTCAGTCACCGAGTAAGACGAACGTGCATCAGTGAAGTCTATTCGTTCCATTCACATACTAGTGTTTAAGCTAGCTTGACGACCGTGAAGATCATCACCTTTTTATGTCATTCTATATGATGCTTATGAGCTTGCAATACTTTGATTTGCTTGTGGCCCCACCATTCTGCATAACTCATACCAAACGTGTTATGGTCTTCATACGTAAGTGTCGCCATCAAAAGGCTAACTTTGCATGTGAGCTGGGCGAACAGTAACTTCACTAGTGAACATTGGAATGCTCGAGGACTATCAGAAGTGATTTAGCTATTTAATTTTAAAGAAAAATTTATTGGCTTATACTGCGCTCTGTTAAAGCCCTCCACAGATCCTTAGGAATGAGATATTAGAACATGGTGAAGTTATAATTTTCAAGTCCCACAAATCTTTTTTTAAACTTTTTTTTCGTCCAGTGCATCGTACTCGCTGTGGGAATGTCATATTTTTCTCCATGATTTTCGTTAATTGGTCTAATCTTCGAGTCGATTGGAGGTTATAACTTCGGATCCGCTGTCCCACTTATTGCGAGATACGTATTTGTTCTTTAGAGCACACCTGTTTTTTTCCACGTTGTAAATCGATGTTATATGAAGAACTTCTGCATATTGAGCGCGGGTATTTTCATTGTTGAGAGCTTTCACTATCGCTTCTGTCTCATTTGAGTGGGAAACGTCTTCAAAATCTATAAAAATGAGACGGAATAGTATCTTGTGTTTTGCCGATGATTCAGTGAGCCTCGTTATCGTGGGGATATGATTCATCGTAATGTATGGTCTTCACAACTAGGCTGGTTGGGAGCCAGCTGCAAACGAACGCTGCATTTTTTTTTTTGCAAAAGTAGAGACTTCCTGGTATTCCTTTCGAACCATTTATTCTGACCGGTAAAGTGTGGAAAGCTGAATTAGTTTGTTGGTGAGAATTGATGGTAGGTTCTTCAAATAATGGCTTTAATTCAATCTGTTCCGTGCGCCGTACGTCTCATCACCGACAAAGTAGCATGTTAGTTTTGAGAAGGGAAAATCACTAAGAGAAAATATCGGCGCTGATTGATCTGACTTGGATCCAGGTGGACGTGCCTGTTGAAGAAATCGAATGGAAGTAGTAGATGGTCTTCTACTTACCCTTCTGGATGTAGTTTACTACTCTGCTTTTATTCGTTTTGTGCAGAGCTGCACAAGTACGAACATGACATTTTACTCTTATACAGCTCGTGCAAATCACCTTACCATATTGACTTGAGAATTTTTTGGTTTTTTAGCACTAAGCTGTTGGCAGGCAAAGGAGTACGTATAGCGCAGTGGTTAGAAGGACGGTGCAATACATATGGGATCGATCCCGCGTTCCAGGCTCACTAAGCCTTCCATCTCTCCGGGCACGGCAAATTGGTACCAGACTTCCTTCTGGGAGGATAGTGCATGACTCGATCCAATAGTGCGCTACAGCAAGTTAGTGCATAGGCCAGATATACATTCAGTCACCTCTAACGAGGTTTAATGAAGTCGAATGCATGGTGCATTCCTCAGTGATTGAGCAATGCCGAGAGCTTTATCTTCTCTTTAACCTTTATCCTATCCTTTTAAGATGCTGGGTGGCTATACATGTCGATAGCTCTGATAAGGGTACCCTAAAGCTCAAGTGGAGGCGAAACCAGAAATGAATAAACCCGCAATTTAGGAATGCTTTGGAATGGAGTAAAACTGTCATCTCACTATGGTTTGATTTAATTTAATTTGACACCGTTAACTGGGACACCGTCCCAAATAATTGGAGCGAAGACCTTTTAGAATGGGAGTTACCGCCATGAGTGGTCTCGGTCATTGCAGCAGCACGTTCAGACAGCCTCTTACTATATTCCTTTAATTCCGTGGATCTCGATGTTAACTTCTTCAGACGCCCTCCTGGCTCTAATATTAATCGCCAAGGACGATTTCACAGGACGTCTGGTCTTCACCGCAGAATTTGATTGAAAATGACGAATACTGTTAAAGCCTGCGTTCGCTCTCATCTTTTGAACTCCAAATTTTCAATTCGGTTTGTTAGTTGTTCAAAAAAAAATCGATGTTTATGGTAGTGCTAGCGTTGATGAGAGATTAACGCCTTCCACTCCACGATTTTTGCATGTTTCGAGGAACATTTCTCCAGCGCCATAAAAAGTTCTATTTGAAGCATCGCCTCGTCTACGTCATAGAGCGTCGGTCAGTCGTGAGGCAACATAGGAGTCATTAGTTGACAGTTAGCGGCTAATCGAGGTCCTGCAGCGACCTTATGTTTCTCTGAAACTCATCCAGGGATGGGCTCCTTGTTTCTGCTGCTCTGATTTTGCACGCACCTTCCTTGTCTGCAAAGACACGTAACGAATACGTACGTGGCTGTTCTCACTTACATGGTTTGTATTCTATGACTCATTAGACCGAAGGCCTACAATCAAGTGATTGGGAGGCGGTTAAAAGTCGGCTACGGGAGAGACTAGGAAGCGACGTACGAGTTTACCCAGCCCCGACGTTCAGTAAGCTATACGTGCATATTAAAGGCTAAATGAAGTAAAATAAATGAGCCTCATTTTTCTAGTCTCGGAGGAACCTCCGATACTGCAGAGTTGGTTAGTGAGACTACGGCGAGGCTGCTAAAATCTTAGGGCCATTCTAGGCTGCTTAAACCGCAAATGACTAAGGTGACGATCTATACCTACAATGCAGACACACTTGCATTCGAGTCCTCGATAGAAGACTTGCTCATGCAAGCAAGAAGGATAAAGTACGACGTGATCGGCCTGGTCGAGACGAGAAGATGCCACCCTTTCAACGCCGCCTATGACACCGGATAAGACCTGTTCCTTGGAACCTGCGTCGGCGTTCTCGTCAACACGAGTTTATCAGTGAACATCGATTCATTCGAATAACTTACAACCCGAATCGGACGTTTACGATTAAAAAGATGTGGATCAATACCGGCTTTGACAATCTCCATCGTTTACGCGCAGAAATCAAACTATGACGTGGAAGAAGTCGCAGCGTTCTATATGGACTTGGTTCTACAGTTCTATATGGACAAGTTCTACAGAAAAGACCATAAATTCCTCAAGGTCATCACTGGAGATTTCAGCGCCAAGATTGGACCAAGATAAACGTTTGAAGAACGTCACATTGGAACTCATGGATTAGAATGGAACAAACCGGGTAAGCGGTTATTTGAGTTTTTCATGGCAACCAAGACCATCTGTGGTAACTCGCAACTCCAGAAGCCCCACCCTCAACGCCGGATGTGGGAGTCTCCCAATGAAGAGTACCACAACGAAATAGACCACATCATACTAAATAAATGGTCTTGCCTAACTGATGTCGCTGTTGTCCCAAAATTCTACATGGGACCAAACCATTGCCCCCTTCGTGCAAGATTCTATTTCTCGCGGAAAGGAGAAAAAGCCGCTAAATTCGAAAACTGCAGTTCCAGAACCACCGCAAACTGGGACTTATTCAATTCATTAGTCGGCTGTTGGGAATACCGTTGTCGATAACATCGACGGGGAATGCGATCGGCTCATTCAACATCTTCACGTTAGCGCTATAAAAGCTGAGAGTTCGAAAGTCACTAGGAGACGTCTGTCTCCAGAAACATTCGAGCTGATGCGCCATCTTGGAATCGCACAAACTGCAGACAACCCTGAACTAACGTCCGAACTTGCAAAACAATGCAGACAGGCGATAAAACAAGGTCTTAAAGAGTGAAGAGCAGCAGTAATGGTCGTAGATGCAGAGGCTTGGAAAAGCATTCGCAAAGGTCACCGAAGCTCTCCAATTACAAGACCAAGATGATTGCACTACAACGCCAAGATGCAACAGTTACAGCGCCTAGAAAGGCAATAGAGAAAATCATTCACGAATACTAGTCAGATCTCTTCGATAGCCACGCCCGCTTTCGGTCATGTGAAAGAAAGGAGGATGGTTCTGTTGTACCACCGGTTCTCCCTTCCAAAATCAGACATGTCATTTCGTCGGTGAGAAATCGAACAGTACCAGGTCCGGACTGGATAAGATCTGAAACGCACTGGCTCGGCTCTTCACACGTTAACTGCCTGAATGCAGGGTCCCTGCTCAATGGAAGACCAAGGACTGTGTTAATGTTCAAGAAGGGTGACCTCCACTATATGGGCAACTATCGCCCAATCTGCTTGTTGTCTGTCATCTACAAATTTTTCACTCGAGTCGTCCTAAACAGGATTAACAGAACACTGGACGAAGAGCAGCCATGTGAGCAAGCAGGGTTTCAAAAAGGATCCACTACCAAGGACCATATCCACGCGCTAACAAGACTCATCGAAGTATCGTGAGAGTACAAAAGACCGCTTTGTCCCACTTTCATCGATTTAAAGAAGGCGTTTGACTCAATTGAGATAGAAGCAGCCATGGAAGCCCTTGATAGTCAGGGAGTACTACTAGACTACTCAGTATATAAAGATTCCTTGTGAGCTATACAAAGAATTCACAACCAAGATATCCCCGTTCTACAACGATATTAACATCGACATCAGAAGAGTGGTTAGGGAAGGCGATACTATCTCGCCAAAATTATTTACCGCCACCCTCGACAACATCATGCGAACATAAGAACTGAGACAACATGGGAGTGAAAATCGATGGCCGGTAATTACACCGCCTTCACTTTGCTAACGTCATCGTCCTTATAACACCAAACGTCGGCCAAGCGGAGCGAATGTTTGCCGACTTTGA